CCATGCTTGGGAATTGACTCTGGCTCCTTCTCCTGTTTATCTAAATTTGGTCCCCATAACTCGGTGTTCAGGGGGACAAAATGATTTTCGTTGTTGCATCCACCACCACTCGCTTCCTTTATCATGTTGTGCACCTGCTCCTTTCTTCCTTTTCCAACAGTTACTACCACCCACTTGTCGTGTGATCGCGCCTTTGAGGGGGTCTGCCCCAAATGAGACTCCAGGGATTTGGGGGGGGGCCATGTTGCGGGTGGTTGGGTGCCCTGTTGAGGCTCCCCTTGCTCTTCCCATGACCATCCGATCACTTCCCCTTCCTTTTTTCCAGGTGCATCGATGTATACCCATCCTTCGTGACCAGGGTCAACAGTGCGCCACCATGATTGAAGTTCATCAAAGGGATCCTTTCTCAAGCGCCCTGTAGGCCGTAGTAAGCGTGAAGGGTGACGGACACAGGCTGTCTCGGTATACAAATGCCCGTATGCCTGGCATTTGAAACACTAGGGCCAGTGCTTATGGGCGGTGTGGATGCGGTACATTCTTCCTCCTATCTGAAAGGGGATAACGTCATCAATCGAAAAAACCTATCCGTCTGCTAGGTTAATGGCTAACATTAGATCTTTCGCAGCGAAGTGATTTCCAGCTGCACAGTGTCTGGTCGCTGTGGTTTTGGGGGGGCCTAGGGGTGAATACGTACCTCCGATCTTTCGCAACGAAGTGATTCCCAGCTATCCATTATTTTCTTGTCAGAAACAGATACACAGATGACTGTGATAACTGCAGATGAGGCAGGTTGGATGAGAAAGCGATTGTGTGCACTCTCTGGAGATCCTTTGAATGCGGCTAAGCGTTCTCTGATCCAACCTACTTTATCATTCGTGGACTTGAAGGCTGCATCGTCGTGGGAGGTCCAATTGCTAGCGTGTCTAGTGTATGTGGCATCTCTTGTTTTAACTGCCTCCCCCAGGAGGGCTCTAACCATGGTGGTTTTGTCGCCCTGATGGATAATTCTGTTTTCAGGAGGGACTAGCAAGCGGGATAGGAAGAATGCACTAGCTGTTGTCTGATTCCTCAGTGGGATTTTCCACTCCTCCCCGCGCTGCCACTCCGGCTCCCTCCTTCCTCTGTTGAATTGAGATGGTTTCTTGGGAGAGCGAGCTCCCCACCCTTTCAGCCCATGTTTTGTTCGAGCCCTGGGTGGTCTAGTTAGATGTGCTCCTGCCCCCAGTCTCCGCTCCCTTCCCCCTTTCTTGCGGTTGAGGTACACTCTCCCCCTTTCTTGCGGTTGGGGTACACTCTCAGTTCCGGTCTCCATATTGTTTTCCTGTATCTGTTCTGGTGGGTTCTGTCGATCTTGTCCCTTTTCTCCCCCTTCCAAAGTTCCCATGAGATGGTTCTGAGCCAGATGTCTAGCAATCCCTTTGTACATTAGCATAGACTCCATCTTTCTGTGAACTCGCTGATACCGTGTCTTCCCCCTGCTGCTAACCATGATGGGATTGTTGTTAATTTATTATGTGCTCGCAGGGGCGGAGGCGGGACAGCTGTAACATCAGATGCGTCATGTGTCTCCCCTGGCTTCGTCAGGTGGCCGCCCCCCGTCACGGCACCGGAGTGGTGGTCGGGATCGGGGAGGGTGATCGGGTTCGACGGGGGAGTGGGGGCGAGGTGGGCAGCCGACGGAATGGGACGGGGACTGGGACCCGGGTTTGGTATGGCGGTAAGGGCGAGGTCGGGATGGGTCGGGGGTACCAGGGGGCCGGGATCGGGACCGGAGGTGAGGGGGCGAGCCGCGGACGGGAAGTTGAGACGGGTGGGGGCGAGGTGGGCAGCCGACGGGATGGGACGAGGAGTGGGACCCGGGTTTGGGATGACGGGAAGGGCGAGGGGATGGATCGGGGACCGGGTCGGGGACGGTGGGCCAGGCAGCGGAGAGTGGGTTGGTGTCGAGTCGGGGTGGGGGCAGAGTTAGAGTCGAAGCAGGGTAGGCGGGGGCGGAGTTTGGGAACGGGAGGTGGGGATCGGGATCGGGGGAATGAACAGAGAGGGGTGCCGAAATCGGGGAGCGACATTGGGACGGGGTGGATGGATGGGCGGAGGGGGGAGCCGGGATCAAGGGGGAGGGGATAGGCAGTCGAGAGGATGGGCAGATCGTGTGAAAGGCGAGGACAGGATGAGTCAAGGACAGGTCGGGAGGTGGGGATCGGGATCGGAGGGATGAACAGAGAGGGTTGTCGAAGTTGGGGAGCGAAGTTGGGACGGGGTGGATGGACGGAGGGTGAGCCGAGATCGGGGTGGATGGACGGAGGGGGAGCCGGGATCAGGGGGGAGGGGATAGGCAGCCGAGAGGATGGGCGGATCGCGTGAAAGGCGAGGGCAGGATGAGTCGAGGTGTTCCATACTGTAACGGTGCAGACCAGAACAAGAACCGACCTCTCAATACAAAGTACAAGATAGCGTAGCGGAAGATTTAGATACCAATGATCCGAACAATCAATATTTCAATGCAGCCCAGAACATACATCATCATCATCATCTCCATGGTGTGAAGGGGTCTGGCGCTCACAAAGGAAGAATGCGCCAGCCCCAACCATACACAGACGAAGAAGAGGGGAAAACGAGAATGTCGTCAACACCAAGTCTTCGGCACAGGCCCGAATAGTCCCTCGTCAAAACGTCTGAATCCCAATGTCGAGTCTGGATCCAATGTCGTCAAGTCTCAAGTCACAACTCTCTCTCTCTGTAGTAGTCCGCTGATACTGAGAAGTCAGGTGGTGAGAGGGGAAGAAGAAATGGTGGACTTAGAAGAGGAAGAAGAAGAACTCTCTCTCTCTCTCTCTCTCTCTCTCTCTCTCTCTCTCT